GTCGATAATAACTGCATCTGTACTCATCTCGTACGCAACTTGACTGAGACACCCGTTATGTTGCGTGTCCATGAGTAGTGGAAGCCAAGTAACGTCAATCTCTTGAAGTAACAACATAATTCCTGGTCAATAGGAAATATCTCAATAGCTATTAACAGTTATACTTACACCTCTACTCATCATACTCATTATTTCAGCGTAATTACCATTTCCCGAGAGTTGGTCAACTGCACTGTCAGCAATTTTGACTGTTATCCTGTGATTAAACAATGCATTATTAAAAGTTGAACTCTGTAGCAATTTTAGTTTGATCTTACTCAAAGTTACCAAAATTAATAAAATCCTTCAGCATTTCCGCGACTGGCTTCTTGGCTGGAACAATGACTCCATTCACCTCTTCGAAAAGGCTTAGGACACCAACCTACGAATCCATCGAAAGAAACATTTATTAGGAATATCACAGCAGTACATGTTTAGTTGGGCTAACCTGAAATACACCAACTGATACATTCAACTTCTCATTATTTTCAATGGGCATCCTGGCACAAAAACTGACAGAAAGATGGCAACAATAAGTAAAGGTTACATAAAGTTAATGCTTCAAATGTTGATAGACAATAAAGTTTTGCGATCATTGCAAAGGATTGCAATTTTATTTCAAAAAATCCCTTTGATAGTTAATGTGTGAATTATAAAGTAAGATTAATTCAGTTTGATATTGAAAGGTTTTCCATTTCTCACCATTCTTTATCCTTCCATAAGCTATTCAGAGAATATCGATATTTCTTGACAACTGACAATATTTCTATGATAATTGTTATAATAATAAACCTTCATTTTAAGTTATTACCTGTAACATTAGTTTCTACAATTCAACTACCATTAAATTTTAACAGCGGAACATTGTATTTGGGAATTTGAAGCAAAAGTTTCTGTCCGTCTACTTACCATGCTACAGTTATTAATAGCAAACATTTTAGCATCTAGTTAGGATATAATTTTTACAAGCATCAAAATCAAATCATTTGGAAATAAAATGAGAATAGTTATTGATTACTTGAAGGTACAAAATCTCAAGCTTCACTCACAAGAACAGTTTCATCAAATTGAACTTCCTTACAATTCTTTACGATTTA